TTATATGAATCTAATAAAAACTCAATTTTCAAAAAATTGTAAAAAAAGGGCTGTTTTAATAGATAACACCCCATATAGCATTCCTAAAATTGATACATGCATAAGATTTAACAATACATTAATTATGCTTTAAGGTATGTATTTAAGTTGTTAAACATAAGGCTTTCATGATTGCATATTGTTAATCTTAATTCATTTAATCATCTAATTTGTTAAACATCCAGACTATTTCAAGCAATTATAGGAACAAGAAATGAATTACTTAATTTACATCAGAATTTACATCAGGAATAAGCGAATTCTTTAAAAAAAAACAATCTTCAAGAACCTTAAACAAGGAAAAAAACAAAAGGTTTATTTATGTTAAAAATCATACGATACCGTACCCGATAAGCACAATATGGTAAAGATCGACGAGCTAAAATTCTATTTTTATACAGGCAAAGTTTGCTTAGGGAGTTTTAGTGTTTGAAGATTGAACACTATAAACATTTAGTTACAACCTTACATGTCACGAACCAATCATAATCTTTAAAAGCCTTTCTATAAGTCCTTCCATAAATGTTGAATAAATTTTTGGTTACGAAAATGATGTGAATAGAAAATAATGTTTATTCTTTCATCAATGAGATAAATAATGCGATAAACGGCAGAATTAACATTTTTAGATTTTCGGCCCTTGTGCGCACACATACATATTCGTACATAAAATCGCAATTCTCATTCCGATTGAGTTGTGCACACTTTATTTCTGAATTTACATACGTACGTACGTACATACGTAAATACACACATGAAGTTTCTATAAAATCCGTCGTTTTGCCTGTAAATCTTGATTATTTTCAACTACTTAATACTGTATATTCGAAATAAATTGTCTGTATTTGTTAACATCTCGTATATATTGCACATTTTCTACCTAGCATTCATAACATAACATAGCATTCATTTGACTTAATTGAGAATATGCAGTCACCAGTTGATTCATCAGGTTTTCCTAAAAAACTTGCCACTTATAAGGTTCGTACAAAGAAAATAAAGAGTTAGATCCTATTAGTTTTATCAAGATGAACATCGTGCTGATCCTTATCATTATTAAAAATCCCTATAGCTTATAAAACTGTTTACTACGGGCAACAGCTCATCTTCAGCTTCATATGATTACAATTTTGATATCGATAACAAAGACTGTTCACACACTCAGTTGATTTACAATATAACAAATTGTACCGATAAATCAGAATGTACTCCTTCCTATTGTCGCGAGGTTTTTCGAGTAGATGCACGAGATAATTTATATTGGTACAATACTGCTCTTAAAGCTGTTCCTCCTAGAAAATTTTCGCAACAACCTCCTTCTCCTCAAACTTTATCTCCTCCACCTAATCCAAAATTCCATTAAGCAAGTTCAAATTAAAAATATAGAAATTTATTGAGTGAAGGTTGGTTTTAAAAATCTCAATATAAATTATCTAAGTATGGTTTAAATATCAGATAACAAGCTATTTTATTACTTGCTCAAAATTAGAATTCTGCGACAGAGATAAAAATTTTAAAATATTTATTGAATATTATATTTATATTTATATTACAGTATTTAAATGTATATAACATGCTTTTTATATGTATATATAAATAATATTATAAAAAATAAACAATATAAATCTATAATTCACTGTAGCTATATATATATTTCCATAGACGTCTATTTCCATAGGCGTAGTTTTTTAGAGTTTACTTCATCTTGAATGGCGACTGTTGACGCCAAAACGAATTCATGCCAAACTTTTTCATCATCATCTAGATCATTCTCAAACATTAAATTACTTAAAGAATCACTTTTGACAGAACCTGAAGAATCAGAACCTCTTCTTTGACCATTATTATTTTTGGCCGAAAGGTACTTAGACAGACGATCGGCAATGCGTGGAGACCAACCATATGGTGCCTTTTTCAAAAACATTATCAAGA